CAAAGTACTTTAACTCTTGCTTTTTATCATCATAGCGATCTAGGAGTAATAATATTTCTGATAAAAATATATTAATTGATTCTACCACTACTAGGATATTTATTATAGCGTTTCCCATACTTAATCAGCTTAACTTCAGTCTGCCTTCATCGCTAGCATTTACTCTTATGCAGCACCATACTTTCACAAATCATTCCTGCTTTCGAGGGGCTCGCAAAGAACTTGTCCTTTGTTGCGACCTTCATCTGTTTTTTCCACATCGGATATATTCACAAATGTTGGGAATGCTTCTACTTCATTTATGGTTAGTATTTTTCAATCCAGACATCCACAAACTGTCTGAAGCTGGAAGGTTACATGACGATAATGATACAGAACGCAGTTCATTTAATTTTCCTTGAGTTCTCTTCACATTTTCGAGTCTGCTTTAAATATTAAGCAGTACCGACTCACTACCTTTTTTCCTCGCAAAAATGATTATTCAGCTTTATTGGGTATATCTTAAATCTAAGTGGGCATTATTTTATTATATTTATGCCATATTGCATAAATTTTCCCTTAATAGGTGAGATGATTGTTGAGACCCAACCATATTATGAAGTTATATTTGAATGTTCTGTGTATTTGTGTACATATGTGTTCCTTCATTATCATTAATTTTAGCTTATATTAATTAGCCAATTATCCTGACTTCATTTTATTGCTTCTCTTTATTAATATGAGATAGTCTATAACTTTCCCTGTTTCCGGCACTCAACTAAAATGATTCAAGCAATACAAACTTAGTAACTTTTCAGATCAAACTTCACAGTAATCCTATTTTATTCCATTTCTTTTTGCTACTCTCTAACCCTTTTTTCGTATGATGATGCATATACGGCTGGATATTGGGGCTTTTGTTGCAGGTTGGAAAACTGCTCGAGTTGTTGGGTAGCAAGGCTGCCACTCTGGATGGTCGACTGCGCGATGGCTCAGCATTCTCCGGTGATCCCGTAGAGACACTAAGCAAGACCCTAGTGGACCACGGCCACAACTATCTTGGAAAAGAGTTGCTTTACTCAGGCGTGACTGGAGAACCCCTTGAAGCCTATATCTACTTTGGACCTATTTTCTATCAGCGCCTAAAGCATATGGTTGTGGACAAGGTGAATTTAAGATGACGTTTTAAAAATGCCGATTTTATATTATATAGTTAAAAGTCATTACAATATGAAATATTCTAGATCTTAAATTATATCATTTTCAAGCAGCTCAAGTCTTCTACGAAAGTATCTCATCATATCTTTAGCACTGTAATTAAACTGCCCACAATCAGTCGGATTGACTAGTTGATTTAACTATTGATTTTGTTTCACCAACTACCTTATAAGTGCTTTACAACTTTTATTATGTTTTTCCAATTCAGGATCTGTCTAGAATCCATAGCAAGATTCTTTATACATTGTATGGACCAGGTGATTTGGCACCATATAGGTGCAGGATTAGCGTGCTTTTCACAAGTTGACGTATATTTCATTTAGTTTGAAAAGGCTTTAACCGAAATGAAAAGATTAATATTTTAGATTTGTGATTGCTAGCCTCGGTGAACCTGAGTGAGTTGTCCTCTGTCATTTGGCGGACCATGTCAGAGCCAGAAAATATCATTTCTTAAGCCTAAAAATCATTTGGTATTAGACTACTATCTGGCATCCTGTAGTGACCATATGTTCAGCCACTTCCGATATATATATATATATATGGCTATTAGACTAGGAACCAGATGCGCCTTTTTAATTAGTCGAATATCTAACTGAGCAATGTAATCATTCGATAAAGTTGGGGCAAATATGATAAAGTCTGTCTATACAACTTAGTATTTAAGCTAAAATTTTCATTCATTGCTCCTTTCTTCAGTCATATCAAGCTTCTCTTATTTCCTGTAATGATTCCTAGGTGTTGTCCAAGTGTTACTCATAAAGCCTGTATCGTCCCACATACCGGGTTATCAGTGTACATCGACTGCATCAAAACTTACAGACAAATCTTCCTGTTCTATAAATTTATCATTAAATAGCTCAATAAAATAGTGAGAATTTCTTATTTAGAACTGCAGGAGTCCAGTTATTTGCCTTGGTTAACCGCAAATATATCCTGACGTTTTATGCATCACACAGACCTTATCATTCACGATGACCTTTTTCTATATGTATGAGAATCGGTTAGAGTCTGCATTATTTTTTCTACATAAGTTGTCATATTCTTACTTAAATTTCCGCAAAATTAGCTATAAGAATAGAAGATTCATCTCGACAGACTTTTTCTGCTTAGTATTATTGGTGAATTTTCGTAAATGATTCTCATATTTTTTATTCATATCTTCTTTATCCGGAGTATGTATCTATATGCATATCTGTTTTTTCACCTCATATATCAAGACTAGTCTCTCCTTTAAGGAGACCGATAAGATCAAATCGGGACTTAAATTACAATGTCTCGGATATTAACTATTATATTCACCTCATTGTGACCTATTTAAATTTTATTTATGATTTTCTAAATTAATTTTGCTTTTATACTTTCTCCATAATGTTTGATTTTCCATCATCAGGAAGTACTGTGCTTTAGAGTATAATTGCATATCTTGATATAGACGTCTGGATTATTTAATACAACAATTCGCACTTTAAATTTTATAAGAAATCCTTTTATTTGAACAATGTGATTTCTTAATGATTGCTATAATTTAGGCATATCATGGTCTTTTTTCATGAGTAAGTTTTCGTATCGTATCATGATCTTGATCATCTTTCCTGTTCTGTTGTTTATATTCATTTGGTTGTCTTTTATCATACGCTTATAGGAAAAATTTTAACTACTGACTAAATACGAATGAGGTCCTTGCTTACAGTACTTCACATAAAAGCTTTGCTTGGAGAGATTGAGTAAGACCTGTACGAGGTGGTGACGATTAG